AGGATCGTTAGTGGACACGTGGAGTGTTGCCAAATAACCAGGCTGAAGCGCCAGTTGCTAAAGGGAAGTTTTCCTAACTTTTGACAAGCAAAGGGGACAGTGGAAAGGGGCAGTGCCCTAAAGAAGTGCTCCCCCAGGAAGCAGTTTGCCAGAGCTCTTACGGTGAAGGTCAGGGGAGTGTCCAGGATGCCGAAAATGCAGCAACACCCGTCTTCACATATTCTAGGGTCAAAACTCAGACCGCAGTCTCGCCCCTCTCCCGGGTGGACTGAGGTCTGTCCCCTCAGAATACAGGGTTGCAAAACAAGCCTTAATGCCAGACCCTCTGAAGGAAGAGCTCCACTCAGTAGACTGCTTTCAGTTCCTGTGCCCCTCTTGCCCAAATCCTACACTGTTACTCTACTTAAGTGTTCTCCTTAGTTATCTCCTAGTTCTGTGTGATAACTCCTTCATAGTTAATAACCAAGTTATTTTTGATAATTCTGTTCCATAGTCAAGTTCTGGAACTTCTCAGAATCAGGCTTTCCATCTGTAATTGAAGATGGTAGTAATGACCAAATAGGGTTATTACAAGGGTATACTAAAGTACCTCATACAGCACGGTAGATTCTGTAGGTGCTAAATATCATATGAGCATTGGATGTCTCTGGTAAAATTCGGGGGATTATATATACCTGCAGATATGAACCGAAGGGTGGGCCTTGGCCTCATGTTTAAGACACTGTTTAGGGTGCTCTTGTCCAACATCATGAAGCCTGGGTTCAACACCTGGCTGCAGTTGCTTCCTGTAGCTTCCTGCTAGTGCAGACACTGAGAGGCGGGAGTGATTGCTCAAGTCTTTAGGTCTCTGCCGCCCATGTGGGATATCCAGATTGACTTCCAGGTACCCAGCTTTGGCCTGGCCCAGCCCTGGCCGTTGCAGGCATTTGGAGAGTGAACCAGCAGATGGGAGTGCACACTCACTCTCTCTCTCAATCTCTCATTTCTGTAGGCGCACGTGTGTGTGTTTCTGTGGTGTATATGTAACCCTCTCAAATAAATAAAAGATATGGACCAAATTTATTAAAGTAAAAACTTAGCAAGAAGCCAGTAAGCTCTGACAAACCAGGAAGGAGAGCTGGGGTCCCGGTGCCTTAAGCATCAAAACCTGACGTCCAAAGAAGCAAACAGATGATTCGGAGCTCAGCAGAGCAGAACGTTTTTCAGGCTTCTGACCCCACCTCCAGAACCCAGATGCAAGAAAACAAGGGTCGCCAGCGTGCTGCAGTAGGACCACAGAACGAAACGACCCAGAACTCATGGGTTCTGGAAAAGTGCACCACTTTGCTGGCTTCCATGAGACTCCACTGGAGCTCCCCAAATTAACTAAGTGTCCAGTTACATAACCACATGTTCTTAAATACTTATTTGTTTATTTGAAAGTCACAATTAGAGAGAGACAGAGATCTTCCATCCACTGTTTCACTCCCCGGATGGCCTTAGCAGCCAGCACTGGGCCAGGCCAAAGCCAAGAGCCAGGAGCTTCATCCAGGTCTCCCACATGGGTGCAGGGGCCCAGGTACTGGGGCCTCTTCTGCTGCTTTCCCAGGCCATTAGCAGGGAGCTGGCTTGGAGTCCTGCAGCCAGGACTTGAACCAGCACTCAAGTTGCATACCAGGGCCGCAGGATTCAACTTAACTCATTATACCACAGCACCAGCCTGTCAACCATATTTTAATCCAATCGCTCACTCACTCAGTCCCTGGATCTATCGGGGTCTAAAGCAAGAGCTGGAAACCACTCTAGATGTAGTAAACATATGGTGCATTAAACATCTAGAGTATTTGCAAAATTCCCAAACAACTTGGAAGAGTGGGAGCACTGATGCCATTAGATTCAAATACCACCATCACCATACTCCAAAAACTGGTACTGCAGCCACTGCCATGGCCAGCCATACTGCCTCCTGCCCCAGAAAACCACTTGACCCATAACACTGGTAATGCCTGAAACACACAGCCACTGCCACAGTGGAGCCTCAATACCATGTCTCTCTTTTAGACACAGCAAGAGGGAAATGACCTAACACCTCTCTTCCACCAACTAGGACCTACCAGTGCATCCAGAACCTGGCTATAAAGAAGTGACACAATGTCTCCACTCTACAAGAACATGCACAGGGCATGGGGTCAGATGGCGGCTGACGGAGCCAGTCTGCTATGCTCAGCCATGGGCCCTTTGTAGCTGTACAACGCAATGACCGTGTCTCACATAGTTTACCCCTTTGGTCCATTCACGTTTCCCCTCACCTTCATTCAGCCTAGGCTAACAATGAGCTCAGATTTCAGTAAACAGCGCAGCAGACTACTGCTTGAACTTGCACACCAAATCCAGAAACTGTGAGGATAGCTAATCTTGTTAAGTAGCTTTTCCCGGTCTAGAGTTAAATCCTGCCTGCTGGCCTATCACCCTTAGAAACTAGTCCCTCGTGATTCCCCATGTTTCTGCCTATATAAAAAAGTGAAATTTTTTGGTATGTCAGTCTTCTCTTTCTAGTCCAACTCCACACTTGTCTTCTGGGGTGCATTGGGAACCGATTCTAACTGTAATACACTGGAAACAACAAGTATGGGACTGGAAGGGCCGGAGGGGAGAGAGATGACAGCTTACTTACCCCAAGTAAAGTAACCAGCACATCTTCACACGAACCACCACTACTCTCTTCACATGGGAAAAGGGAGCTGCCCTGTTCACCCAGGGGTTCTGTCGGATGGAGATATAGGGTCCTCAAATCAACTGAACACACACACTCGTCCCAGCACAATTCACAAAGTCTCCCTCTTTCCAAATCAGTATTCTAGCATTTACTTAAAATAAATGGCAAAACGTGAATTCGGCTTAGGATGTAACTTAGCTGACTGATCAGATTTTATGTGAATGTGAATTGGGGCTACATCAATCCTGACCTAAGGCCACTGGAGATAGAAGATTATCTTAGGGTAGTCAAGGAAAATCCCTGGTTGTCTGAGTTTCTTTAGACTGAAGGTAAAACCCTGAGCCTGTGGTTTTCTTTCTTTAATTTCTCCTGAACCATCCTGCAACACTTAACATTTCTTGTTTCCATTCTCATGATTTATCTCTGCAACCACTTTGCCATAGTCCAGCCTCCAGGAAGCCAGAAGTGATGTAATTTGTGTGTGTGTGTTTTGTCACTGGGTCCCATTTTACAATGGCAGCATGGGTGCCAAAACCTTCAAATCCAGCTAGGTCAGACAGAGCTGTACCCTATCTGAAGTTTCCACCCTGGAGAGTCTTCTCTCCAGTCCCTTCTAGAGACAGAAAACAATGCTGGTCCCAGAGTCTCTTGATTTCTTTAGTTAAAAATCCTTTAAAGATCTAGAATAGCCATTATAACTCCCACTCTAGTTTTTCTTGAGAGTTAACAAGGAAGACGGGAGAACTGAGTTAGTCTAAGGCCACCCAAAGACTATGCTGAGTATGGCAGAAATAATTTATATATAAAAATCCATGTATAATTTAACACTAATGTACAGAAATAGTATCTCTCTCCCCCCCCCACTCTCCCTCACTCCCTCCCCCATCTCTCCCTCCCCCAACTCTACCTCCCCCCCTCACCCTGTGTATTTGGGCATCCTAAAGGAGTCCTGTCACCATTTGGAAGAAAATGTAGAAGTGATGCAAAAAGATGTAAGATGATGGGGTCACAGTAGGTTAAGCCAGCACCTGCGACCCTGGCATTTCATTTGAGTGCTGGTTCAAGTCCTGGCTGCTGGACTTCCAAGCCAGCTCCCTGCTAATGTGCTGGGTAAGCAGCAGGAGTTGGCCCCAGTATCTGGGCCCCTGCACCCATGTGGGAGACCTGGATGGAGTTCCAGGATCCTGGCTTCAGCCTGGCCCAGCCCTGGCCATTGCAGGCTTTTGGGGAGTGAACCAACTGATGGGAGATTGATCTCTCTCTCTCTCCCCCTCTCTCTCCCTCTCTCTCCCTCCCTTCCTCCCTCCCTCTCTCTTTCTCTCTCTCTCCTCTTCTCTCCCCCTTCCCCCTCCTTCCCTCCCTCCCTTCCCCTCTCTAGTTGTAACTTTACCTTTCAAGTAAATGAACAAATCTTTTAAGAGCGAGCGAGAGGGAGGGATGGAAGGCTTTGCCCAAGGCCAAAGACCTCCAAGAGAGCAAAGCCCTGCATCCCCATTCACCTGTCCATCCCGTCCCATGGTTGGCTTCCTTGTCTTCTCTGTTTAAAACTACTTAACCAGAAGATTGTGAGGAATTTTGTGAGGAAAAATTATCTTCTCCCCCACCTCCATGAAGATCCTCTGGGTCTTGTTGGTTCTTTCTTAAGGTGATATGGAAGTTTAAAATAAAAATCAGAAAATATACACGAACACAGAATAATCTCTCTGAATATTGTGGTGCCTTTAACAGAAAAGGAGTGAGGGTGAACACTTGGCACAGCCGGTACAATGCCACATGGGATCTCTGCATCCCATGTCAGTTCCTAATTCCATCCTGGCCCTTCCACTTCATCCGGAAACCTGCTGATGAGTTCTGGCAAACAGCAGCTCAAGCGCTGGGGCCCCTGCCACCCATGGGAGAGACAAGGGTGGAGTTCCTGGCTCCTGGATCCAGCCTGGCCCAGCCCTAGCTATTGTCATTTGGGGAGTGAACCAGCAGGTGGAAATGCTCATTCCCTCTCCCTCTCTCCCTCTCTCCCCCTCTATCCCTCTCCCTCTCTCCCTCCTTCTCTCCCTCTCTCTCTGCTTCTTCCTCCCTCCCTTTCTCCCTTTTAAGTAGATAAAAATAAACATTTTCTTAAATGCAGACTAGGGCTCCTTCCCAGAGGCACAGGATCTGTATCTACATTTCAAGAGAATCCCCAGGTGATACTTGTCCAGTAAGTTTCAGACTCACTGGCTTATTTCAAAGGGAGGACCAAATTTTTCCCACAATGCAACAGAATATTTCCATCATCTTGAGTTTCTCCACTTTCTGGTTTTTTCAGAAGACAACAGTGGATGGCCTCTGCAATTTGATAACTATTTTGCCCATCGCTACAAAATGCCTCCCGCACCTCGCTTGAAGGCAAAGACATCCGAATGCCGCCGTAAGTGATCAGATCCTTTAAGTCTCCTTTTCAATGAGTTCATGTTTTTAAAAGTTGGGTTCAGCACTGAAAAGAAAAAAAAGGGTAATTATAGTTTTATACTTGCAAACTGCACTAGGGATGGAGTCTTAATTTGGGATTTTATGCAAAGATGACTGAGGGATAGTAAGTGTCAAAGAAATCATGTCAGGTTCAGAAACAAAAGGAACAGCAGTCAGTCAGGTAGCTTTGATGTTTAAGCTCCCTTTTCGCAACCAGTACAGTCTGAGGTGAAGGAAGCTGATGAACTAGAACAGCTGAGAATCTGGATTGTAATGTTTGCAAGGGAAATTCTTCTGGCGTTTAAACTACTTTAGAGCTATGAACGCCTTAACTATTGCAACCTGCTGCTTATAGTCACACACCAAACTCTTAACAAAAACTTGGAAGAAGTATGGAAGCATCTAAACTTCAGGATTAAGTCTGTAGTATTTGCGGTCAGGAAGTTACATAAAATAATTCCTTTTAAATCAGTTGAATAAATTAATAAATTATGCATTATAAGTCTGTACCTTAGAGCTATAATTCCAACCTTAGCTTTTCAAAACCTTGGTTAAAACACAGGGATTGGGAAGGAACATTTTACTGTGTTTTTTTCTTTAATATACAGCCATAAATTATAAAGTGCAGCTTTCAAATTTTTAATATTTTTGTCTTCCCTATTCCGATGGGATTAATTCTTAGAACTACTTGGAATCCTCAGTGAGAGAGACCACTCATCTTTTTGCTGAGTCACTTAGGTTGCTCAGCTACCCCTTGCACCACTCCTGCCCCCCAGAGGACTGGGAACAAATGACAGGATCACTAAAAAACTAAAACTTTCAGGAGTGACGGAAATCAGCAAATACAATCAAACTGCTGGTAGAATGCATGAAAACATAGTGAACTAAGCCGTGTTGTCTCAAAACGTAGTTTTCCTTTTCTTTGCTCATATATTGTTTTTATTCTCAAATGTTCGTTGAATCTTCATATCTCACCTCATTCCCAAAAGAATCTGGGGCAACTTACAATTAACATACGGCTGCTGACAGAGGCGAGCCATTCGCATGCTATACAAGACAGAAGTTAGGTGGCGAATGGAAGTGGCAGAGGGAAGTTACACGAGAAAACCCTGACAGAAATGCAGTGAAAACATCCAGAGATGAGTTCAGAATTTTGTAACCGTTAGGTCAGGAGGGAAAATAATGAGTTACATAAATTTCATCATCTTGTTTGTAAAGCAAAAATAAACAAATGGGGGGAAATAAATCAGGCCAGCTAGAGAAAATAATTTTTGCCTGATTTTGCACTCTGAAAAAAATATGTCACAAACAGAAACACTTCTGAACAACAGATCTACACAACACATAATGTATGCAAATCACAGGAGTAATTGTTTTCATCAGAACTTAATAAAGAACAAATATATTATTTACTTTTATTTTTTATTTGAAAGGTATAGGGGAAGATTTCCCCCATCCACTGGTTCACTCTCCAAATGTTTGCAAAACCTGGGACTGGGCCAGTCTAAGACCAGAAGCCTGGAACTCAGTCTGGGCCTCCCACTTTGGTGATAGGGACCCACATACTTGAAACATCCCCTGCTGCCTCCCAGGGTGCACAGGATGATATTATCAGGAAATTAGAACTGCACGCAGACCCAGGACTCTAAGGCAGGTACTCCAATATGGGATGCAGGCTTCCTAAGGGGCATCTTAACCATTATGTCAGATGCCCAGCCCCAAAGGTATAATTCTTTTATTTATTTATTTATTTGATAGGTAGAGATATAGATAGTGAGAGAGAGAGAGACAGAGAGAAAGGTCTTCCTTCCGATGGTTCACCCCCCAAATGGCCACTATGGCCGACATTGTGCCGTTCCGAAGCCAGGAGCCAGGTGCTTATCCTGGTCTCCCATGGGGTGCAGGGCCCAAGCACTTGGGCCATCCTCCACTGCCCTCCCGGGCCACAGCAGAGAGCTGGACTGGAAGAGGAGCAACCGGGACTAGAACCCGGCACCCATGTGGGATGCCGGCACTGCAGGCGGAGGATTAACCAAGTGAACCACGGCACCGGCCCCAAAGATATAATTCTTAATTTGACTTCTTTCAAAACAATTTGGGGGCTTGTGATTAATAATTAAATATCTTTCAAACTTGAAAGCAGTATAAAAAATAATGGGTAGTGTAAAATCTGGGGGTGAAACTTAAGTTTCCTATGATGCCACTTTATTTAAATCAGATTATTATAGGGATTTTTTTTTTAAGAATCGAACAGAGTGTCCCACAACCATTTTGATTAGATGAAAGCACTTGAGGAATTCACATTTTTAAAATTACCTCTCGAGAAATAACATGCAAAACATAATATCTAACAAAGTTTGAACTTAAAGTATTTGTTAAGAACTGTTTGCTAAGCCATAATTTTACCACTCAGAGGCTACCAACATAACTCACTATTTCTTTTATTTTAACATAGCTGAAATTTCATATACAAACCATTTTCATCAAATTTTTCTGTTGGTGTTTTAGCATAATAAGCTATCCATGTTATTACAAACATTTTAAAACACATAATCTCCTATTTTGTAAGGGACATACTTTATTTAATCACTTCACTGGTGGGTATTTATGTCATTTTCCATTTTCCTTATTACAGACAACCCTGGAATCAGCACGTATGGGTTATGTTAATTCAGTCTATGCAGAAGAGAAAGCATTGGCACTAATGCTGACTTCACTGATTTGCACTGCCCTCCTCCCATGTCTCTCCTCCTCATGGCCTTCTCCCATCTCGAGCTTCTCCCTCCCATCCTCACAGTACACAGACACTCATATACTAGATATGGCTTTGAGAGTCCATTTTCAAAGCTGCATAACCAAAATGAGTACTTAACAACTACAAAACTGTTGTAAAAGTTCTTGGCAAACACTCTGTTTACATGAAACACCAAATCAAAGTTATGACCGTGAACCCTTACAGCCCTGTCGAGGAGACTTGAGAGTTTCCCGGGAGGAGAGGGAGAACACCTGCCCTGCCACGTCTGAGCTCAGAGGCGTAGCAGCTGGGCTCACTGAGGCTCATCCACAGGAGGCTACTTGACCCCTGAAACTCTTGCCCACTGTGCAAGCTTCACTAGAAAGGTCGGAAACTGGGAACTGTAGGCAGAGAATACTCACAGAAAACTGACTTTGTCCTGTGATGTTTTAAATTGAAAGCATTGTGATTCTGGCTTTTTTGAGGAAGTCAGTAGGCCTGTTTTGGTGCAGTGACAGTTTGGAGAAGCCATCCCATTGGGACATGCAAACACAGTTACACCCACTTGACCTGGTCCCTGTCGGCGGCTGAGTCTATAACCCTTGCTGGAGATGGCAGGGCTCCAAGAGGAAATGGGCAGGGGCGGCATTCTAGTTGCTCTCGGTAACTGTCCACATTCCGTCAACTAGGAATCAGACCATAACAATGATATTGAATGATAATCACATTACATTGCTTAGCTATGTGAACGCACAATTGCCAGTTTCTGGTAGACTTTAGATACGTGACATCCCATCAACAAGACTTTCACTACAGCCCCACAAGATGCCCAAAGGTACACACCCCGTTCATTCTCTTCCCAACACCCGAAGCAGTGAAAACAGGAAGACTGTGCCGAAAAACATGTGCATGCCCAGTTCCTAGTTAAACTGACTCAGTCCCCCATTCAAGGTTTTACTCACGCTATTCGTAAGTACTTGCTCCCCCAATAGAAGCTTAGATGGGAACACTGCAGCCCATCACACCCTACCACATCTCCCTTTCCTGATCTAACAACAGACGACTTCATTCCTTTTGCAACAAGTTGAGAAGGGTGATCTGCCGTTTTAAGAAATGCATGGGCTGGTGATTGTGTGTGCTTCCAAATGTAATGTTCTAGCAGTATTTCAAGTTTCAGTCAAAAGCAACTTTCCAAGCCTTAATTTGAAGCTTTGCCCAACTGCTTAGGTAAGACACGACATAGATTTGTATGAAATAATTTTCTCATAGCTTTTCATTTCTCTTTTCATTATCCTCCTCTTCCTGGACCCGCCTTTCATCCTCACTTACCACCCCCTCTCTACTCAGTAGTCGGTTCTGTGCCCGGGCAATGTGCTTGCCAAGGTCTACATCTTGACTGTGATGAAACCAATTTACGAGCTGTTCCTTCAGTTTCTTCAAACGTGACAGAAATGTAAGTAGAAAAGAATGGCCTCCTTACGGCCAGAACAGCACCTATAAAGCCGTATCATAGCTAAGACCGTGTCATTATCAAGAATACGTTTGAGCTTCAGAGATGATGGCATTTCAATAATTGCTTACTTTTTGCATTTATTAAATGCCAGGCTCTACATTAAATTATTCCATATGTTCGTTTATGTAGCCCTTCATTTTGATCCTAGAAAGCATGTGGTATCACCGTGTTTTCTGTATACACAAGATGCCCTCAATTGTATGTGCTACTGAGAAAAAGGATTGTTATGCAAACTGTTACATAGAGTTTTTATTGGGCATACTGAAAAAGCTATTTTAAAATTTATAGGACATAAGCTTTAATATATTCCTATGGATAAATACAAAAAAGAAAACAAGTAGAATAAATTAGGCAAAATATTCCCAGAATTTCATGTTTAAATCTAACTCTTGTGAATCACCTTTTTCTCAGAAATACTGATATTTTTTCTAGATAATTCCTATATGTGTATGTGAAAGAAAATAAGTGGCTTATCGATTTGTAGTGCTTGTACTTATTGGGTTTTAGTAAAACTTGAATTCAGCAGCACAAACCATCATATTTGACTGAAACTTTCAAAAAAGAAGTCAGTGGAGGATGGATATTTTAGTTCAGTATTTTTGCTGAGCTTTTTTCTTCTCATTCCAGTGTCCCAGTACCTTGTAGCTCTGACTTTTGAGTGTATTAAGACAAATAGAAGTGGTTCTTGATTCTACAGTGTTGGCAAGTCTTGCCTTTTCCAAAGCAAACCACGTAACAGCAACTCTAATGCTGGAGATTTAAGGGCGGGAGGAGCTACACCTTGGTGTTCCTGTAGGTACTGTACCGTCAGAGCCACAGAATCGGCAGGTTTCCCCGTTTGATAGCAGCCTGAGAACACTGGCGGAGTGAACCACAGTGGAGGTAAATTTCCAGCCTGCACTAAAGACAGAAGAGAGGCCTCCAGCCTTCCACCTGCTCCTTGCCTCACAGCAGCTCTTTTTCATACTAATTAGTGCTATTGGGAAAAAAACAGTGATCCCCCAAAAGTGCCTAAGGTTTCTCAGAGGAGCGGTTTTTATAATTGAAATTCTAACTGGAATTGGTGGGTATAAGAATTGATTATAGTTTCACTCTGTTTTCAGAGAAAATGATCATTCCTACTGTTTATATCAGGTGACCCGAAAATCCAAATCAAAGACTGCCCTTATGCTGCCAGTCTCGTTTTCCCTTTTTCCACGTGTAAAATTCACACTCATTCTTCAACAGTCAACTAACCTCTGTAAAAGAAAGGAACAGGCGGAGAAAGCTGGAGAAATGGAAAGGGATAATGTGACGGCTAACTGAGACAGTGTGATCCCCCAGAGAGAGAAGGATTCACTGAATTGAAATAATTCTACTGGAATTTTAAAAAACTTTTCTGGCCCAACACATGTGCTTATGTATACGTAATACATAAAGAGATGTGTGCAGGCCTGTGGACCACCAGTTTCCCACCAGTAGCTTAAAGAGACAAACAGGAAAGATCCCCTTGAAGGACTGGCTGCAAAGAGGCAAAGGAACAGAGTGAGTCCAGGAGGATCCCGAGGCTTCACCTTATGTCTAAGCACAATCAGGGATGGTGAGAGCTGAGGGCTCCAGGGTCAGGTGTATTTTTCAATTTCAGATTAACAGTTCATCTGGATTTGTAAGAAGGAGGCTGAGAAGTTCACGGCTCCCACACTTTGTTTTCCATGCAAAGATAGCGTTTCCTTGTGTTGCGTTAGCTGCTTGATTCCAGTTGTCCATTTATACTTCTCTCTGCGGAGCACTGGCTCGGCCTCACAGCTCACCCCAGTCTGTCTGTCCAGTAGGGAAAAAGAACTCTGGGCTTTACAGCAAACACACTGGAAGAGTAAATATTGCATTTTATTACTGAGTTCTTTCAGATTTGAGTTGGAACTATTACAGGAAAATGTCACAAATATAAGTAAAGGATCAAAGAAGTTAATAATCCAGGTGATGTCTGTTGATTGTTTTTTAAGGATGTTTCACACACATGCTAGTGAACAAAACAGGCATACCCAGAGAGCTAAGATTAGTTACACATTGTTTGGGTTTGCTAAATATTAGCTTTGACCATTTCAGAATTGTCTGTAAGATCTTGGAATTTAATCACTGACACTGCTTGGTGTTAGTAGTAAGAGTTTTGTTTATAAAAACTACAGCTACGAGGCCAGCACCGTGGCGCAGTAGGTTAATCCTCCACCTGTGGTGCCAGCGTCCCACATGGACACCGGTTCTAGTCCCGGCTGCCCCTCTTCCAATCCAGCTCTCTGCTGTGGCCTGGGAAGGCAGTGGAGGATGGTCCAAGTGCTTGGGCCCTGCACCCCATGGGAGACCAGGAGGAACCACCTGGCTCCTGGCTTCGGCCATTGCAGCCATCTGGGGAACGAACCAATGGAAGGAAGACCTCTCTGTCTCTCCCTCTCACTGTCTATAACTCTACCTCTCAAATAAATAAATCTTTTTTAAAAAGACAGGAACATTATCTTTTCTTTCAAAGTGCAAGCTGCAGGCCTTCAATATATGTTTGCTGAGAAAATTAACCAATTAGCACATTTTTAAGGATACACTACACTTTCACCAATTACCTTAAATGAAACCCAAATGCTTAATACTTCCATACAAACATTTAAATAGGGCTGAAAGAAGAATTTGATATCTAAACCAGATGAGAATTATTAGTAGAAAAGGGATTTTTGATGAGCCAGTAATGCAAGGAAGAAAAGAATATTTGGTGACAACCCAGCAGCTGAGTGATTTCAAGAAGAACCATTCATTCATTAAAGAAAATCATTGCATGACTGGCCGGATAGTCAGACCCGAGTTTCTTAGCCTTCCTTCTTTTCATTTTTGTGCCCCTCCTCCGAAAGCCTGTGTAGATTTTTTTAAGATTTCATTTATTTATTTGAGAGGTAGAGTTACAGACAGTGAGAGGGAGAGACAGAAAGGTCTTCCGTCCATAGGTTCACTCCCCAAATGGCCACTACGGCCGGAGCTGTGCTGATCAGGAGCCAGGTGCATCTTCCCAGTCTCCCATGTCGGGAGCAGGGGGCCCAAGGACTTGGGCCATCTTCTACTGCTTTCCCAGGCCACAGCAGAGAGCTGGATTGGAAGAGGGGTAGCTGGGACTAGAACCGGTGCCCACATGGGATGCTGGCTGGTAGAGGATTAACCTACTACGCCACAGCGCCGGCCCCTAGATATTTTTCTATTTGTCCCTTCCTGTGAAAATTTAATACTGAAAGTGTTCTGTATATCCATCCCTATTTAAAACATATTTAAAGAAAGATTGTTTTCTCACACCCTTAAGAATCAATTTATGCCCCAATAGAGATGCATGGTCTTCTAGATTATGTTTCTCACATTGGACTCCAAAAATGTGTTCTGGGGAGTCTAAGAAAGTATATTTCTTTTAGAAAAATTCATTAGCAAGTCTAAACACCACCAGTGGTCCGAAACCTAGCCTATGATAAGTCACTGAATTGAGTTGATCTCCAGACCACGCAGTCCATCGCTCATGTGTCAGTTATATGGCACTGGGTTAAGTTAACCTCCAGACAGTGTCGTCTATTGTTCCAACATACTATATAAAGAAATCGCTAACAATAGCATCACTGTAGCAGAGATCATCTGGTCCAAATCCCTTTCACAGTTAAGGAGATTAACTTGGAAAGGTTACGTGTGGTTCATGCAGCAGACCCCAGCTACACTGGTTGTAGTATTTTGCTTGCTTGCTTGATTTATTTTGTTTCCACTACATTATACTGCCTTTCTAAAAATGTTTAAGATTTGGGGCCTTTCCAATGCAAACACAGTTATGTGGATCTGATCTCGTCAATCTGCTTATTAAATTGTAATATAAGAGAAAATCTTTATATACAATTTATTGGGAATTGAAATGGGATTATTTATTGTGTAAAGATGGTACAAGATATACATATGTATACTGAAAGCTTCCTTAATGATTAATTTTAAGGTGATAGAATGCAAGCAATAAAATATTGAAGACCATGAAACTACTTAAGTGCTTTGATATCCCTTAAAGAGAAAACACCACTTTATTGTTATTCAAAAATGAAAATCCCCTCTAATGTCTTTTAAATGCAAATAGAAAAGGGGAGCATAACTGAAAAACCAATTTTCCCAGTTTAAAGTTTTAAATTTTTCTTACAGTAGGATTTTGTAACCTAAGCTTAAGAAAGGGTGACTACTTGAATCACATAAAATCCAGTGTTAGACCCAATTCAGATGATGCTCTGAGTATGTGAGTAGCATCATTTAGTTAAATGTTTCCTGAAGGCTAGCACCAAATAATTCATCTTACAGTTTTTATACTATTATAGTTTAAAAGTAAAGGGAAAAGGTTTTAAGTAAGAACAAAAACTTGTATTTATTTCAGGTCACTTCAGTGGAACTTACTAAGCAAGCTTCCTCCTGATGGCTTCAAGAAGTACCATGATCTTCAGAAGCTGTAAGGAAAACATGTGTTCCTGTGATTAAGGTTAACCGGCATCTTCAGGCAAATCTGTTTCTTCCCACTTCTCTGTAGACCAAAACGCTGCACCACTGCTGAAGTCTAACCCTGCTTCAAGGCATTACTTAACTGTTAGCTCAAGACCTCCAATAACACGTTTCTCCGAGTAGTTCTTTTATTTTTTTATTTATTTATTTATTTTTTGGACAGGCAGAGTGGATAGTGAAAGAGAGAGAGACAGAGAGAAAGGTCTTCCTTTGCCACTGGTTCACCCTCCAATGGCCGCCGCGGCCGGCGCACCGCGCTGATCTGAAGGCAGGAGCCAGGTCCTTATCCTGGTCTCCCATGGGGTGCAGGGCCCAAGCACTTGGGCCATCCTCCACTGCACTCCCTGGCCACAGCAGAGAGCTGGCCTGGAAGAGGGGCAACCGGGACAGAATCCGGCACCCTGACCGGGACTAGCACCCAGTGTGCCGGCGCTGCAAGGTGGAGGATTAACCTAGTGAGCCGCGGCGCCGGCCCCGAGTAGGTCTAGCAGCCATTCTATAAAACCTCAGATACCTGTCTTCAAAGCAACCGGAATCCATGTGTTGTGAATCCACCTGCTAGCACCCCTACAATGGAAACGCTCACAGCTGGTACTCAGCATTATTCCAGCACGCATAACCTCGGTGCCCATCAGAGAGAAAGATGTAGTTGTCTTTTGCCAGGTCTGCCATCAAGATTACAAAGTAAAGGATTTTCTTCCGTATGTTCACAGATTCAGTCTTGACCTGACATAGCAGGTCGTGGACAGAATACTCTGAGCATGTTGTTTGAGAACTTGATTCCATCTCACACCTGCTCGAAGGGTTGGTTTTATTTTAACCTCCCGTGGTATCTGACATGCTCACTGCCCTTTCATGCAGGGCCCTGTATGTACTCCCAAAATGCACTAGTCCCAGGTGATACTTACCTGCTATTCATGCCAACTTAATGACTAAGTCATATTGTCATGTGACTGGATTGCTGGGTTTAGATAGTCTCTAAATCACATTATCTGTGAAATATCTCAGAATTCTTTATTTCATTTTCATACTGTACTGTTTTAATTTTGGCTCTATGCTAGAAAAATCTGGTACATAAATACATGTTTGCACATTATCTAAAATAACAGCAGGAAATACAGTAGTATCAGAAAAAAAAATTAACCCACTTCATTCAGCGAAATGTGCTGAAAACCCAGATAATCTACAGAACAATACATTTTTATTTTTAATTTTAATTTTTTTAAAGAGATATTTATTTGAAAGTCAGAGTTACACAGAGAAGGAGAGAGAGAGAGAGAGGTCTTCCATCTGCTGGTTCACTCCCCAGATGGCCGCAATGGCCAGAGCTGCGCTGATCTGCAGCCAGGAGCCAGGAGCTTCTTCCAGGTCTCCCACATGGGTGCAAGGGCCCAAGGACTTGGGCCACCTTCTACTGCTTTCCCAGGCCACAGCAGAGAGCTGGATCGGAAGTGGAGCAGCCGGACTAGAACCGACGCCCATATGGGATGCCGGCGCTTCAGGTCAGGGCATTAACCTGCTGCGCCGCAGCGCTGGCCCCTTAATTTTAATTTTTAACACTGTAGTTTATAGGTACAATTCTAAGAACACAACAATCTTCCCTTCATGCCACCCTCCCTCTCCCTGTATTTCACATTTGAAAGTAAAAATTGCAATGGAAATGACTTGACAGAACTTCTGAACATTTATCAATCAACAAAGAAAAGTTTTTCAAAAGTTCTAGTACAGAAACTTCAAGGGGATAGTTCGTTATTTATCTCCTGATGGCTGGAATCTTCCTGATGGAAGAGTTTTCCTGATCTGTAGCACCACCTTATGTCCACATGTTTGAAAGAGGTTTGACCACAAATTTGTGCATGTATATATGTGTCTCATTCTAATGTCAAGAGTTCTTTATTCTGTACAGAGAACTGTGTCAGATATATTACAAATATCTTCCCTTAGTGGTTTTCCTTTTTATCTTCCTTTTATTATCTTATTATTTAAAACTTTTTATTACCAAACCACAAATCTAAATATAAAAACTCAGGTATATATATCACAGTAGTTTAGCATTTTTGCACAATGAACATTGAATTAATTCTTAAGTGGTCAATTTGTTCCAAGTAAAAAAATGATCAACATAGCCTGATTAGTAAAAAAAAGAAAGGTTCTCATTGGTTATTTAAAGTATAGCATGGCTAAACCTCCATGCAATACAGTTTCTTGATTATCAGATCTTTGCAACATTTAGAAACAGATAAATGCATGTAAAAGTCCTTCTGTACGGGGGCTGGCGCCGTGGCACAGTAAGTTAATCCTCCACCTGCGGCACCGGCATCCCATATGGGAGCCGGTTCTAGTCCCGGTTGCTCCTCTTCTGGTCCAGCTCTCTGCTGTAGCCTGGGATAGCAGTAAAAGGTGGCCCAAGTGCTTGGGCCCCTGCACCCACATGGGAGACCTGAAAGGAGCTCTTGGCTCCTGGCTTCGGATCAGCTTAGCTCAGGCCATTGCAGTCATTAGGGGAGTGAACCAACGGAAGGAAGACCTTTCTCTCTGTCTTTCACTGTCTGTAACCCTGTCAAATAAATAAATAAAATCTTTAAAAATAGAAATATTTAAAAAGTCCTTCTGTATATAGTAAAGAAGATGAACTGTCTACCATATGATTAGGCTGATAGTATGTGGTGAAATGGTCAGGTACAGAATAAATTTTATACTAACATTTTACAAGTTAAGTTTCCTATATGTTACTAACATTTTACAAGTTAGGTTTCCTGCATGTTTGAAAATAGGAAATCTCTTTTAGTCAAAATTTCTAATTAATTGAAACTTCATTGATATTGTTTCTCCCTTTTAGCTCCTAAAATTTATAATAAATTGCAGGTATAAATATATGTGTATGTATGTGTGTGTGTGTGTGTGTGTATATATATATATATATAAACTTCAAGACACATTAAAGGCCAGTGGAGACCTGCATGACAACAAGAAGGCAGGCATAAAGTCCTTCCTTTATCATTCCTGACTACCTGGGACAGGTACACATAGACATATAGAGCCTTACATAGGTGCATATGATACAGTATCTTGTTCTCTGATACCTGTTTCCTTCTACCTCCAGTTAAATGGAGATCAGAGGTTGGTATTGCTTTATTTAACTATAAAAGCCTGCATTCTTGTCTTGCCATTCCATTCTAACTTAGATTCCTCTAGTACCAATTATTTTTATTTATATTTTCTCTTTTGCTTCTATATTTCTTCTTGAAGCAAGGCATGGAGTTTCAAAATAATAAAAGTGAGGTTAACTTGCTTAGCACATTTGCAGCTAACATGGAATATTGTATGTCACACTAAAAACACCCTTTACTTGTAGTTTGGCCAGCACTGTGTCAAGCTCTTACAAATTTCAAGAATTGTCTCAGGAAATGTTGAAAAGTCTGGCTTCTGGGTGTGTTTGATTAGTGAATGCTTTACTGTGCACTAAAGCTTTATTCCTGGAACATTTAAATAGTAATTTTAACTTTCATCTCTTTTCCCTTATAATTTCTAAATTGTCGCTCCCCCTCTTCATGGAGGAACAACACTAAACTCTGCCTAGGCTTCCTATCCGAGTCACGGCACCATTATGTCGCTGCCCCTCTTTGTGGAGGAACGACACAGGACCCTGCGTTGTTCTTTCGTCTGCTCGGCCCTCCCCGGGTTTGCTGCTGGTTCTTCCCGGGTTGGCTACCGTCCCTTCCACCTCCGTGGAAGGGCGGTTCCCCCTGCCACTTTCCCCACTTCCGCAGGGGAGCGGCACACCGCCGGCCAGCTCTCTCGGGGGCTGCTCAGGTGTTCCTTCAGATAGATGTTCCCCTTAGATGTTCCTGGTGCATGTTGTCTCTCCCCTCCTTTATAGTCCTCTTCCGCCAATCCCAACTCGGCTGCCCACACGCCGAGTACACTGCTCTCCTCCAATCAGGAGCAGGATCAGCTCCTGGAGGTCATCACTCAAGTTGGCAAGAGGCAGCTGCGTAGAAGCTGTTTTCTCCTCTCCCAGCACCATATTGTGGGAGAGCAGATGCATAGAATAAGTCTTAATTCCAGTAACTTAGTCTAGTCCAAGTTGCTCCCCACACTAAATAAACTGGAATTTCTAAATTAATAAATCTAGCCTAATCATGCATGCATTTAAAGGCAAAATAAAATGACATGATAGCCACTTCACTAAATTATTTTATTAGAGTTTCCATAGTGTAATGGTTATCACATTCACCTGATACTAAATTATTATATTTACCTTTTTGCAATTTTTCAATTGTGATCATTGAAACTCACACATAATATAAAATTTATCACTGAACCGTTTTAAGAAGCATTATGTACCTTCACATGTATGTTACAATTATTACCAAACTCTTGCATCTTGCAAAGCTAAAGTTCTGCTTTATCATATTTTGGGTTTTAATTTTCACAGGTGCCTGCAGAACAATAGGATTAGATCCATATCCACCCATGCTTTCCGAGGGCTGCACAACCTTATTAAACTGTGAGTACCAGCGCCAATTTGCACATTCTGTGGTGTTCTGGTAGCCTGACCCATTCCAGTCCGGACCAGCCCTGGTGCTCGCAACAGCATCAAGTAGGCTGGCAAATTGTGCTGAGAAGCAGTGTAGCACTTGGCCAAGAGCGCAGGATTTTGGTCAGAGAGGCTTCTGTCCTGATTTTATCACTCGCTGGGTGTGTGACCTTGAGCCATTTGTTACCCTAAGCATTAGTTCCTTCTGCTGTAAAAGACAAGTCATAGTAGCACCCACCTCAAGGTTGTTGGAACAAACAAGAAGATCCATGGAAAGCATGAGGTGCCTACCAGTGCCTGGCACACAGTCAGAACTCTGTGAACATCAGCCACTGTGGCAGGAGTGAGGATTTGAATGGATCAAGTCAAAGTAAGAAAGTTTGATAATAATGTTTTTGAAGAAGAAGATTCAGACTTCCTTGGGTATTTAGTTATCCTTTTTTCACTTCTCCTGCTTTTATAAATATGTAAAATGTAGAGTTAAAACAATAACACTTTTTAATTGCGGTAAAATATATGTAATATAAAATGTGTCATTTTAAACATCTTGTGAATGTGTGTATTTATTTGAGAGACAGGGAAGGAGTTATGCGAGAGAGGAAGAGAGAGGTCTTGTACCCGCTGCTTCACTGCTCAAATGCCTACAGTGGCAGGTGCTGACCAGGGCGTAAGCCAAGAGCCAGTAGCTAGAAACACATTCCAGGTCTCCGTGTGTATGACAAGGACCCAACCTCTCGAGCCACTACCCCTGCCTCCCAGGGTGCAGATTAGCAGGAAGCTGGAATCAGGAGCAGGAGCCAGGAATTGAACCTAAGCACTACAACATGAAACCTGGGTACCTTAACCCCTAGGCCGAGTGGCTGCCCCCACTGTAGTCAGTGGCATTGTTTGCATTCATGCTGTTGTGTAACCTCTCCACCATGCCCCTCTGCCCAGACTCAGGAAACCACTGCTTCCCTCTTCAGTTTTATGACCAGACTAAGCCAAGTGCTTCATGGAAGTGGAATCATCAGATGTTTTGTATTTGGCGCATTTCATTCAGCACAGTGTCTTCAGTGTTCATCCGCATTGTTAAATGTCAGAATGTCCTTTTTAAGGCTGAATGATGTTCTACTCTGTGTGAGTTGTGTCTGTCCATCCTCTCTCCCTGCACATTTGGGTTACTCATGCCTTTTGATTATTATGAATAGCACTGCTATGAATATGGCAGTGCTTATTGGGTACACACTGAAGTATAATTGATGGTCCATATGATAAGCCCACTCTGGTTTTCTCAGGAACAGCCACACTGCTTGGCACAGCAGTTGAGAGACAGAGAGAAAGGTCTTCCTTTTCTGTTGGTTCACCCTCTAATGGCCTCTAATGGCCGCTGCGGCCAACGCTTCGCGCTGATCCGAAGCCAGGAGCCAGGTGCTTCCTCCTGGTCTCCCAAGCAGGTGCAGGACCCAAGCACCTGGGCCATCCTCCATTGCACTCCCGGGACACAGCAGAGAGCTGGCCTGGAAGAGGGGCAACTGGGACAGAATCTGGTGCCCCAACCGGGACTAGAACCCAGTGTGCTGGCGCCGCAGGTAGCCTATTGAGCCACGACGTCAGCCTTGGTGTTTGTTTTGACAATAACTATCTTAAGGTTGTGAAATAGTATCTCATCATGCGTAAGGCTGAAATGTTACAGGGCTTCTTCAAAGTTCCATTTCATTGAGTTCTATCGAGCAACCTCCCAGAAGAAGTAACTAAAAGGAAATGTAACCAAAAATCACATAAACAACTCCATAGATTCCCATTTCTTTGTTTTTCACGCCACCCCATACTCCCTCCTAACCAGAAAGTGGATTGCACTCGGATTTGTAGCCTAAGGGGTCCGAGTTTTCATCTGAGCCAAGGCAGCACCTGAGCACTCCTTGGTACAATGAAGAAAGCCACAGGAGACTGTGGCCTGCAAGGCCTCTCCCTCTTACCCCTGCCTGCCCTTCCGCGTGTTAGCAGAGCGCCCACAGTCAGCACTGGGCGCGTTCTCCTCAGGCTCCTGACTACATTTCTCTGCTTGAATCTACTCAATTTACCGACCAGCCTCTGCTGCTTCAATGCGCAGTGGAGGAGGAGGAAGATCTTAAAGGGCTGTACAGAACTGTAGAGTAAGTGTAGAAGTTCCTCCATCTTCTTTCATAGTCTTTTTGAAAATTATTTATTTATTTATTTGAAAGGCAGAGTGACAGAGACAGGAAGACACACAGAGAAAGAAATTTTCCATCTACTGGTGCACTCCTCAAATGGCTGCAACAGCCCAGGCAAGGCCAGGCTAAAGCCAGAAGTCAGGAACTCCATTCAGGTGTCCCACCTGGGTGGCAGAGGCCCAGCACGTGGGCCATCAGTTGTTGCCTTCCCAGGTACATCAGCAGGAAGCTGGATTGGAAATGGAGCAGCTGGGATTGAAACCATCCCTCTGAGGCCGGCACCGTGGCTCACTAGTTAATCCTCTGCCTGCAGCGCCGGCATCCCATATGGGCACCGGTTCTAGTCCGGTTACTCCTCTTCCAATCCAGCTCTCTGCTGTGGCTTGGGAAAGCAGTAGAGGATGGCCCAAGTCCTTGGGCCCCTGCACCTGTATAGGAGACCGGGAGGAAGCACCTGGCTTCTGGCTTCGGATCGGCGCAGCTCTGGTCTTTGCAGCCATTTGGGGAGTGAACTAACGGAAGGAAGACCTTTTCTCTGTCTCTCTCTCTCACTGTCTATAACTCTGTGTCAAATAAATAAAATTTTTTTAAAAATCCCTCCAGTATGGGATGCTGTCATCACAAACAGAGGCTTAACCCACTGCCCCGTAACCCCGCCCCCTTTGTTGATTTTTTCATAGCACTGAAATATTGTTTGCATATCAAAGTTGCTATGTACATCTGGCCTTTCGTGATTATTAGCTAACTGCTCTGCCTTCATCCGTGTGTATCCTTTAGCCCTTACAGAGTGCAGGTTCTTCAGGGAGATCCCATGAAGGCACAGAAAGATAAACTAGACATGCTGGCTGGAGGCAGATCCTACTCTAGTATTTCAGGTGGAGGGCATGCCTCTCACTCTCTAGAAGGTTCTGATCAAAGATGGGGAACAACAAAAAAATTGCTTCAGTCCTAAACCTGTGTTGCTCAAGCCAAAACTGCTGTTAGCTTTCACTGAAAGGAGTGGTCACTTCAGGCCCCAAACAGTGAAGGATGAATCTGGAAAAGGAAGAGGCCTGGGCTCTGCAGAGGACCCCGGGTTCGGGGGTGGTCCACGGCCTTTTACCGGTGGGATTTCGTTGAGCCCCGTGAGGCTGTGTGGAGATGGTGAAGTTGTGTATTAACCCACCCTCTGCACAGCTGGGTCCCAGGTTTGCAGAGGAGAGAAGGCAGTGGCTCTAACGTGAGGGGCCATCCCTCCCTCCCCAGAAGCAAAAGTCTAGCCTGGTGGGGGAAGGCAGATTGCTGGCTGGAGAAGTGTTTCGGAACGTGGACTCTGAGGTATGGAAGAACAGAGGAAAGAGAGAAAACAGTGTTGTCCATGTATCTGCGGGAGTGAAACTTGAACTAACACTTGCAGAGTCCTAGATGGAAAGGAAGAAGAGGGAAGAGCTGGGGGGAGTCTGTGCACCACAGTGGTACAAGTACTGTGCACATGGCCAGGTGCTGTGGAGTGCGTTGCCTAGAGTGTGACAGCGACCCTGTGAAGTGGGTTGAGATTATCCCCATTTTACAGTTGGAAAAGCTAAGGTTCAGAGGAGTGATTTACATGCTTAAAGTCCCCCTGTTAATAAGAAAAAGAGGTTGTTAGCAGACACAACACAGAGAATCACTGTACTAAAGAGATTGAGATAGAAATGAACATGGCCTTTTTGGCCGGAGCCGCCATCTTCCAGTAATTCGCCAAGATGACGAACACAAAGGGAAAGAGGCGAGGTACCCGGTACATGTTCTTCAGGCCTTTCAGAAAACATGGAGTTGTTCCTTTGGCCACATACATGTGCATTTACAAGAAAGGTGACATTGTGGACATCAAGGGAATGGGTACTGTTCAAAAAGGAATGCCCCATAAATGTTACCATGGAAAAACTGGAAGAGTCCACAATGTTACCCAGCATGCTGTTGGCATTGTTGTAAACAAACAAGTGAAGGGCAAGATTCTTGCCAAGAGAATAAATGTGCGTATTGAACACATTAAGCACTCTAAGAGCCGAGATAGCTTCTTGAAACGTGTGAAGGAAAATGATCAGAAAAAGAAGGAAGCCAAAGAGAAGGGTACCTGGGTTCAACTAAAGCATCAGCCTGCTCCACCCAGAGAAGCCCACTTTGTCAGAACCAATGAAAAGGAGCCTGAGTTGCTGGAACCCATTCCTTATGAATTCATGGCATGATAAATGTAAGATAAATAAATAAGACCTAATTGAAAAAAAAAAAAAAGAAATGAACATGGCAAGAGGGGGAGATCTACACACAGAACCGAGTTCCTGCACGTTGCAGGAGGGTGGGAAGTACAGTTGCATCGGAAAGGCAGGGTTAGACTCTGTGCAAGACTTGCCACGTCCTTGTATCCAGAACAAGACCAGGCTGTCTCCCAGGTTCACGTCCTGTCTCCTCACAGCCTTCACCGAATTGCCCTTAATTATCCCTCCTTCTGGTGCTACTGCTTTCGCATAAGCCACTTCCTCTGCCTGGAGTAGCCTCTGCCCTCTGAGCTTGGGAATGCTGCTCTCATTTCTCCATGTGCCTCCCTCAGCCAAGCTTCCCTGTCTCCTCATTCCTTCGTGCTCGGCTGCCCTGGCCTGGCAAATCCAGCGCTGGTGTTCTGCAGTGTCACCGCAACCACACAGCGTACACCCGCCCGTCTCCATCTGTTTCCTGTTGCAGTAGCTGAATGCCACAGTCTGGGTCATTTATAGGGAAGGGGGGATTTGCTCAGCTCATGGTTCTAACGGCTGGGAAGTTCAAGATCTGATAGGGCCCTTCTCCTTGGAGGGAACTCCTTGCACAGCCCCGAAGAAGTGCAGGGCATTACATGGCAAGAGCAAGCAAGCAGGAGAAAGCTCCCTTTTATGACAAAGCCCAGTTACTTCTTAAAGGTCTCACCCGGTCCTACGCAATACCCAACAACTGGGATTAAATGTCAAGATGAGTTTCAGTGGCAGCATTCAAACCATAGTAGCTTAATCATCACCCAGTCACATGCTCTCTCCCCTCTAGACGTGAAGCCCCTCAAAGAAGCAGTGACATACTTCGCCATGGTGGCAGAAAGAGGGTGCTCAGGCACTTTAGTGAACAAACAAATAGGTGAATGAATAAGCAGGCTCATTGATTATGGTGAAACACTGTGAGCCATGGGAATGTCTGGAGATTCGAAGGCAGGAAGTGGCACAATGGTAGCTAAGAAAACCCGAGATGAGCGGTTATTGTTTTTACTCTCTGCACTGCAAAACATCAAGAGGGTACAGCGCCACTGAGGTCTAATATCTCCTTTTCCAGATATCTCAGCCATAACAGAATCACCTCCCTGAAGCCAGGTGTGTTTGAAGACCTCCGCAGACTAGAATGGCTGTAGGTTCGGTTTATGTGGCATTCTGTCGTATCTATTGTGATGCTCTAAAAACACGTAAGTGAACCCACTTTTTTCTTCCGGCTGGCAGGATAATTGAAGATAATCACATCAATCGGATTTCCCCACTTACATTTTATGGACTAAATTCTCTTATTCTCTTGTAAGTACTCAGTTAAAGCAGACATTTCAACTGAAGGAAAAGACGAATAAAAATTAATGCTTTAAGTTTAATAGCATTAGATGTAAAATTGTTTAAAACCGGAAAAAAGCCTTTTCAACTGGAAATCATCTCTTAATGATATTCTCCAAGGCCATTTGTAGTTCCAACGGTTTTATATGGCTTTGTTTTCCAGCATGTCTGATGATCAAAAGTGAATCTTTTGATAATCTCATATTTTATGGAAATGTTCTTAAGCATTCCACTACTATACTATATTGAGCCTGGTAAACAAAGAAAAGTTCATTTAAAATCACCTCTTTTTACCTACACACTGTTGAAGGGCACTGACTTTTTTCCTAACATTTCTGCTTCCTCCATGTAATAACTATTATTTGTCAAAATTTTACTACTGTCACGCACTCAACTATAACAGGACTTACAGAAAAAAGTTAGAGGGAAAAATACTCATTTAGTACATTTTTAGGATTTCATAAGAATAATGATAAGACCATGTTTGGCTTAAGATGAGAAAAGAAGCAGAAAAACGGGGCTCACTCGGTTGCCGGTGTTTTTCAGGGTGCTGATGGACAACGTCATCACCCGTTTGCCTGATAAACCTCTTTGTCAGCACATGCCCAGACTCCACTGGCTGTAAGTCACCTCATCCTTTTTTTAAAGATGTCAACTAAATTCTCTGGTTTGCCAAATTCCTTTGTATATCAGGATTTTTTTAGAAAATAATAAGGTTGTTAGTGTCATATCACGTTTCCTCAAATTAGTATAATTTTATATTAAACATCATTATCTAACTTATCTAAAATCTCACCAAAAATAAAGCAGTGCAAATAAATACTTCTGAGCCAGGGAGAACAAAGACAGAAAGAGCCTCATCATATGTACACTACATCCCCTCCTTTCCCCGCCTGTTCATCCGGTACAGGGAGGCCACATCAGTAGAGTTTGATTCCTAAATCCTAAATTATTAGAATTTGATCTCCAGTGTTTGTTTTTATAGCCTAATCCCAATAGAATATATTCCATGGAATTTATTGAACTGTAGCCGCTATGATTTGGATATTTGGATGTTGAACGTCCCCCAAAGGCCCCAAGTTTAAAGGCCTGGTCCCCAAAGTATTCTGTTAATAGGACTAAGAAAGTGGCAATTAATCCAATTTGGTATTTGGGGGTCGTGCATTTAGAAAGGGGATGGGATGGGATGGGATGGGATGGGATGGGATGGGATGGGATGGAATGGAATGGAATGGAATGGAATGGAATTAGATTGAGTTGGGTTGGGTTGGGTTGTTAAGGTGGAACCCTCATGATTAATTACTGGTGGCTTCGTAAGAGACTCGGGTGCTCCCTCTAGTGTTGGCCTGTGATATGCTGTGCAATTTCAGGACTCTGCCTGCAGACCACTCACCAGATGCCCCATCAGTGGGCCACCTCATCTCGACTGTGAGCCCCCAAAACCATGAGCCAGAGTAAACTTGACTTTCCTTCACAAGCAGCTGGTTTCAGCTATTTCATTATCAGGACAAAAAGCTGCTTAACACAGTAGCTCTGCTCCAAGTCATAAGTATCACTCTACTATTCAGAGTTCAACTAGTCAATAAATTTGCATGGTTAGAATGCAAGCAAAAAAGAAACAACCAAGAATAACTATTAAAAATTTTAATCACAGAACTGTATACACAGTATCAAATGATGAAAACTCCCTCTGACTCTTACTCTGTAGGAGATTCTCAGATAACGGTCAGGAATTGTTTGGTTTCTAAGCTCACAGCAGATCACAGATGCTAAATTAAAGGGAGGGGACTAGAAACATTCATGGAGTAAGAAGTGTTAACAATCAATTTGATAATAAAGCACAAGTAATAAGAAGCAAAGATGGTAATTCGAAGTATGCTTGTTTGAGACCCCTTAGGGAGAAACAGTTTCTACATCCAGAGAGCGTCTTGATTTGATAAGGACAGTACTGTACCCTACACTGATGGCAGGCAAGTTCAGAACAATGAAGTTGTACTTGGATGTTTCTTCAAATGAATACGTTAACAGCTCTTAATGTTCAGTAATCCAGACTTAGTAATGAAGCACATCTAATCCATAATTACATAAAAAATTAGCAATTAAGGGGCCAGCACTGTGGCATAGAAGTTAAGTGGCTGCCTGTGGTGCCAGCATCCTATATAGGCACCAGTTTGAATACTTTCTGCTCCACTTCTGATCCAGCTTCCTGCCAATGTACCTGAGAAAGCACTGGAAGGTGGCCCAAGTACTTGGACCCTTGGACCCTTGAACCCAAGTGGGAGACATGGAAGAAGCTTCAGATTGGCCCAGCTCTGGCTGTTGCGACTGTTTGGGGAGTGAACCAGTGAATGGCAGATATCTCTCTCTCTCTCTCTCTCTCTCTCTCTCTCTCTGCCTCTCCACTCTGTAACTCTGATTTTCAAATAAGTAATTAAATCTTGGGAGGAAAAAAGGAACCTATGCCTCAGAATCAACTTTCCTTAAAAAAATATGAATTATCCCCCAAAAATATGCAGAAGAATATATATAAAATATTACAATTGCATTCCAACAATATAGTCTTACAAAAATAAAACCACTGGACAGCATTGCTCCCTCTCTACTAATGAGAAAGAGCTTTAAAATCTACAAAATCCGATTTCCTCTAGTCCAGTGGTTGCCACACTCATAAGGCAACCAAATAAATGAAATTCCAAGAAACAAGGGGAGGTGGGACACATAATACTATTTCACTTTGGCAGAGCACAGGGTGAACCACTGGCTATCATAAGAGCAGGTGTGGGGCCAGCGCCACAGCTCACTTGGCTAATCCTCCACCTAGTGGCGCCAACACACCGGGTTCTAGTCCCGGTCAGGGCGCCAGATTCTGTCCCGGTTGCCCCTCTTCCAGGCCAGCTCTCTGCTATGGCCAGGGAGTGCAGTGGAGGATGGCCCAAGTGCTTGGGCCCTGCACCCCATGAGAGACCAGGATAAGCACCTGGCTCCTGGCTTCGGATCAGCGCGGGGCGCCGGCCGCGGCGGCCATTGGAGGGTGAACCAATGGCAAAGGAAGACCTTTCTCTCTCTGTCTCTCTCTCTCAGCCCAGCTCGATTCTATGCCCGGGCGGTCTACTGCAGGAAAGACCATGGGCTTTGAGCCCTAAACTCAGTAGACTCCAGATAAAAGCTCTCCATGTCGTGCTCTAGTCCCTCCCCGACCTCACCGCGCGGGTCTTCACCGGTGACACTCTGCGATAGGAAGAACTATAAAGCACACCTCTCTTTCTTCACTGTCCCCTCCTCCCCGTTCCACTCTTCCCTGTAAAAAAAACAAATAAATATGAAAAAACCCAGCTGTGAAGAACCTGCTAAAATTCCGACAGATCTGCAGGGTCCTATGCAGGCCAGCCTAAAGCACAAAAGTAACTGGAGTGTCACACTCCAGAGAATCAGCTGTCACTGACAGGCATTCTTTTGGCTCCACTGGCTCTCACGTAAAACTAAGAGTAAGGAACCCACCAAGTCCTCCCTGGCAACACGCAGAACTCCAGCCCTCTTCCCCAAGTCCTCCTCTTTTAGGAAGCGAAAGCTTTAAGCACTGGAAGAGCTGCTCCTGCACCCAGGGACGCACAGGAGGCAGAAGCAGAGCGCCAGGCCCAGGGGTGCAGGCAGAGGGGCCCTGCAGCCCGGGCCCTGCACTGATAAGAAGCGCTGGGTTGGGCCCACTGAGGGGGACAGGAAACTCTCTCGTTAGAGTCTGGCTTCTAGAGACAGGAGGGTAGCAATGCTGAGGAAGCCTCGCCACCTTAGAGAAAAAAGAAAAAGGCAAGAAGTCCAGTGTCAGAGTGTGCAGCAACCAACAGAACCAGACCCTGCAGTAACTCAGACGTTACCACTTCCAAATACAGACAGGAAAATACTTATGATGAGTAAGTTAAATGATATCACGCAAAAGGGAGAAAATATGCATGAGCAAATGGAAAATGAGAGCAAGCAGATAAAAAGTGTAACAGAGAATAAAAAGAGAGGCATTTGGTACGGCAGTTGAGTCACCACTTGGGACAGCGGCATCCTGTATCAGAGTGCCCGGATTTGAGACCTGGCTCCCCAGCTTCCAGTCCAGCTTCTGGCCAATGCACGCCCTGGGAGGCGTCAGGAGATGGCTCAGGTGCCTGAGTCCCTGCCACCTGCATGGGAGACCCAGGCTGAGTTCCAGACACCTGGCTTCTACCTTGTCCAGCCCTGCATGGTTTGGCATTTGGGGAATGAACCAGCAGTGGAAGCTATTTCTCTCACTCCCACTCATATTCTCTCAAATAACATGGAAATAGCTTAATTTAAAATTTTTAAAGGGGATTAAAAAATTATTTCAATGGGCTTAGAAGCAGACTGAACACGGCTGAGGAAAGAGTCATTGACCTAGAAGACAAGCATAGGAAGGTTTCAAACAGAAACAAAAACAAGGACTAGAGGAGTATGAAGACAGAACAGGGTATCCCAGAGCTTCAGGACAGTACAGAATTGTCTAACAGAGGTATAAACAGTCACAGAAAAAGAAGAGGGAAGACCGCAACAGAAGAATTTCCTGAAGAAATAATGGCACAGAGTTCTCCACAATTAACATAATACAACAAACCAGAAGTCTAAGGACATCAGAAAAACCCACGCTTAGGAAAAAAAAAATAAACAAACAAATCATAGTCAAGTTGCAGAAAACCAAAGATAAAGAAGAAAGCCTTAATGCAACCAGAGAAACTAGAAATATCCCATACTGTAGGAGAAAGATAAGAAAGGCAATTGTAGCTTTTAAAATAAAATGAAAGGAGCTATTTCAACGTTGGAAAACAGAATTCAGAACAAGCACTTCCCCTGGGGATGAAGAGGACATCAGGTAGTGATAAAGGAGTAGGCTCGGCAGGAAGACAATGTAGACCTGAAAAGTAAGTAGTTTCAGAACATGTAAAGCGGAAGCGGTAGAGCTGAAACAAGACATTGGAGTTGGAGATGCATTTAAAATGGACATGTTCAGAGAGAGAGAGAGAGAGAGAGAGAGAGAGGGAAGAGTGTTAGTCCATTTTCTGTCCTGTAACAGAATAGTGAGGTGGCGTACTGTATAGAGGAAAGTGTAGTTAGCTGCCATTCTGAAGTACAAGGGCACGGTGCTGGTTTCTGCTTGGCTCTGGACAGCGCCCTTGGCTGCATCATGACATGGCAGGTGGCACTGTGTCAGGAGCACACGCCAGAGGCAGACAGCACACGTGAGACGGGAAACCAGGGATTCAAGAGTCAGGCTCACCCACAATGGCGCAAGCCCCTTCACTCCGGAGGGCAGCTCTAGTCAGCACCTCTAGTTAGCTGATTCCTTTGCATGAAAGTTCTACCATCTTTTATCACCCCCTGACCAGGGGCCAAGTTTTCCACACATGGCCTTTGGGAGACACACTCAAACCACATCCAACCGTAGCAGATAGATAAGAGAAACGTAGATATCCCAAGTTGAGCACCAGCAGTTGACCAGATCGTGTGGTAGAAGAGAAGTAGCGGAGCAGAAAGGAAGATAATGCACACTGATTTTCTCATTTCTTATATTAAGAGGTTAAATAGCACTGTCAAGAGAAAGAGAAGATTCTAAGGCACCTCAG